CCCCCCTTTTTTTTTTAAGATGTCCTTTGACTGCTGGTTACCTTAGAAAGAACTTGTATTGCTGTTCTCTTTATATTGATTCATTCTCTTTTCATAAAGGAAACTCAGTTTGACAAATATGTGTCACTCATTGCGTCACTTTTCGCCAGATTCTGTTACTTTTAGTAGCGTGACTCAGCAGCTCAAGGGAGCTCCTCGGCTCGGGGTCACGGGTTTCATGATTCTTGAAGCGACTTTTCCAGTGTCGATTAAGAAGTTCGCATTTTTGTCTACGTTTGAAACGTTATGACTTCTTCACCATCCCACGCTGCAAACCTTTAGACTGATTTACTAAAAGCTCAATGTGTTGAGTTTTATTCTGTGTTGTCCTATTTTTGTTACATACTTATGAATAAATGATTGTTTATTTAAAAACGGCGCAACAGATCCTTCCAAATCTGTGTTAAACCGACTACGAATATCATGTGTAAATACCTGGGTAGAGATAAACTTCTTGTATGGAATACAAATAATGACAGCTAACACATTTATTCTTAGTTTTTGTGTCGGAAATAGTAAATTCAATAGCCTGAGAGTCCTTGAAAACTGAAAATTTACATATTTTGTGCCTTTAGTCAACAACTTTTTTTCAGTAAAATTCACATGGAAATGTGTTTTGATATGGAACAAGGCTGCCAAAATGTACCGATTTTTCCAGTAGTTACCGATTTTGGGTCTGTTCTACCGCCATCGATAAAGGTGTCAAAACTACTGGATTTGCGGTGGGTGCAGAAAGAAGATGAAAAAAAACCCCCTCCGTTCTGCAGTGCGTCCAATCTTCCTTGTTCTTGCGGAAGTCCATACATTCTGAAAATTCCGTACTTGCTGCATCATCATATCAACTCCATGCGTTAGAGAGGGAGGGAGCAGCACTTGCCTATGGAACTTGTCGAATATTTACGGCAACTCTCAGGCGACTCTTGGCAATAAATTGTATTAGAAACTGCCAGAGATTGCGCATTTCATACACTCGACCATTGTCTATTTGTGCCGTTCGGTCTGCAATAGTTTTTTTTCTATCTTCGGGTTTTTGCTGCGGCTGGAAAATTTGTGCATTTAATTCTTTTATCTAGAAAACAGAATTGTAAATGTGGAAAGAAAATCGCTATTAATGTAAAACATTCTCAAATCTGTCTTGGTCTAGAGAATTGGTCAGTACCAAATGAGGATTCTACGCTGGGGAACTGCGGGAATTACCCGGGAATCTGAAGAGAAAAAAAATCGCAGAGACTCGAGAAAATGCACAAAGTCCTCGAAACCAAATCTGAAAAGGCCACTGACTTCATATTTTATTTACCGGTCGTGTTTGTGATACATATTACGTTTGGCCTTTCCCAGTAAGAGAGTACGTTTCATGCGGATAAGCGGCAACGGCGGAAGTGTAGGTGGTGTAGTACTGAGACTACATAGGGAAAATCAAAATCTACTTTCCCTTTCGTTACGGCTATGAATTTTCCAATGATAGTTTGTTAACGTTAGATTTACAGTTAACATAAATTTGTGACATGTCGTTGTGCATAAAAACACAGTGTCGCCGTACAAATTAAATCGATATTCTCACTGCTGTTGTTAAAATGACAACAACAAAAAAAAAGGAAAGGAAGACAAGGATCCTTCGATTTCTAGATTGTTATGCCCGTCATTGTGAACGGTCCGTGAATTTGTGCGCGTTCGCCTCGTGTGAGTTCGGCGTGAGTAAGGGACCGGCGGCAGTTGTTGGGGTAACCAAAGTTCATTCAAAGTAGGAGTGTTGCAGGGCTTCAGAATTGAGGAGATGTGTTTGACACAATAAAGTCTACGGCAGCAGGATAAGGCAGCGACGCAAGAAACTGATGCTAAAATAAAAACAATAAGTGGAAGTGGTTGTCAATGACAAATTGAATAGTGGCCATGCGGAAATGCCATTTTCAACCCTCGGAAAACTCCATGTTGGATGCCTATGCATCATGATGGCATGTTGCTGATTTTAAAAATAAAAACTGGTTCTATGATTTAACATTTGTTTAAAAAGTCCATGATGCAGTGATTGCCAGGTTTTCAGCATCACTACATCCCACACTCTCACAGTCCTTCCAGCTCCTGGTCTCAGTACACGCTCTCTTCTATTGTCACTTTTTGCTCTGCCATGAGCCTAACTATAAAGGTTTTATAAATAAATTTTGTCTTGCATGCTTTTTAAAATCAGTGATTGCTGAAACCAGACATGGTCTTGGCCGTTAATTTTCTTCTTGCCTCTCCTCAGGCCCAGATCAGGATTCATTTCATTGTATTTTTAGGGAAAAACTGGTTAAAATTGTCTGTCATACCTAAGTCACCACCAGGACTTATCAATGTCCTATGCTAATGTTAGAAAATGTGTTTTGATATAGTTTCTATTGGTATGGGCTACGGGTTTTGAAGTTAGTTAGGCAGTCACCCAGCACTCAATTCCAGATTCAACACTGAATGATGGGTGCCTTGAACGATTGTCCAGAAATGCTTGAAAACAAACAAACAAACAAACAGCAAAAAATGAAACAAAAAAACCCACTTCATTTCATACACTCTGTAGTTCATCATAACTTGTGCACTCCCAAACACCCCTTTCCCCTCCCCACATTCATAAACACACGCGAGAGCATGCGTGCGTGCACACACACACACCCACACACACACACACACACACACACACACACACACACACACACACACACACAAGCACACACGCACATGTGCATGCACAGACAAGTTTTAAAAAATATAATTACCCAATATCACAAAAGTAAGCGCGTTCAATGGGGCAACGGTCGTCTTTTTTTCCCCGTCATTGTCTGTGTACTACCTGATTTTGGGCGAAAATACTTGAAACTGACCCTAAATTTACCTGAAATGGGAACTTTGAGGTAGGCAGCCCTGTATGGAAAGGAAAGGTGTTGAGCCAAAAAACGAAAATTCGATAAAAATTGGCATACCGGAGGAAAAATGCCCATTTTTTAATTTCATTATTTTGACGAGTTCCTGATTCCACCATGCTGCCTCACATATGTAGTTTTTGGTGTCATCTTTTTTAAGCTTGTTCATTTGTCTTGCTTTCGATGAAAAATGTATCCATCTTTATTAGAAGTTGATATTTTGGACTGAAGAAGGTGGGAGTCACTTGTTTTCAGAAGTAAAATAGGGAAAAATGGCCACCAAAGTTTGAGAGTCTGTGGACCTGTACATTTATATTTTATGGGCCGTTGATCGACTTTTTTCAGTAAAAGCCACTCAGCAAATTGTTTTTAAATGGACATTTAAGGTGTTGAGTGAAAAAATGAAACTTCGACAAAAGTTGCCAAACGGGAAGAAAATGCCTTCGATTTCAGTATTTTGACGAACGCCTAATTTCTCATATTATATGGTCACTATGCATCACACATAATAGAGCCTGTGATGTTGTGTGTTTAAAGAAAAGGTTTGTGTCTCCTCCTCTGTGCAAGTCTTTACACGATATTGATAATAATACAGCTAAGTATAGTCATATTTTCATAATGGTACATACAGCTAAGTATAGTCATATTTTCATAATGATACATACAGCTAAGTATAGTCATATTTTCATAATGATACATACAGCTAAGTATAGTCATATTTTCATAATGATACAGCTAAGTATAGTCATATTTTCATAATGATACAGCTAAGTATAGTCATATTTTCATAATGATACGGCTTAGTATTTTACTGTCTTCTGTTTCAGGGAGACTGGCTTTTGATTTTCACCCAAGTGAAGCAGAGAAACTCCAGCAGTTAGTGCAGCAGAAAGGTATCGTCAGTCGTACTGTCAGATCAGGGAAATTTGGGGACGTTTAAAAAAAAAAAACTTTTTTATTGGCTATGTATGTGCTGGACTAAGTACAATCATGTGATTTCAATTGTCTCAAAAACTTGTCATGTCTGTCCAATGTTGATTCTTGCATTTAACGTTAAGGGAATATGCTGTTGAGATTTCTATCTCGAAATGAGGACCTTTCGTACTTGGCTTTACATTGAGCTTACACTTTTGGTGGGATAGAAATTGAGAAAAAGAGATTGGAAACTCACATTTATTACAGTCCGTAGCCGATAGAGGCTAATAATGGTCGCAAAATAACGAAGATTCATGAATTGAGAAGTTTATTACTGAATTAATTGTACACCAATCTTCTTCAAATTTTGTGAAGATATAAAACAAACTAAGATCTAATTTCATACAAGGATTTTCAATTAAAGCAATTTCTCAGATTTTATGGCCTCTACACTTTAGTGTACTCACTGTAATGACAATTTAAGGGGGAAAGGTTATTAAAAAACATTTTTCTTAAAAAGTACTTTACAGATCAAATTTTCCTGTTGTATGAATTTGCACATCTTAATAGACCTGTGTACAAAGTTTCATCCAATTTGGATTACAAATAATTGAGTTATACGAATCTGTGGAAAAAATTTGCAAAATGAGAAAAATCACAAAAAACGACCAAAAAAGTGATATTCACTCACAACTCACAATTTCTGAATATTTTGTTCCCAAAGCGTGGTATCGATTCCGGAAATGCAAAAAGCAGAAAATGAACTAAACAGTGATACCAAACACCTTGAGGAAGGATGCAATGTGTTGTTTGAATTATGACGTCGCTTGGTTCAGTTTATGAGTTGTTTTTCCACAAAACACACGAGGAAAGACCTATACCTACATATTTCAAGGGCAACTTATGTCTGGAAGAGAACTTTCTTTAGTATAACTGATCATATGACAAAGTGTAGAAATGGTAGAACAATCGAAATTCATCAAAACTGAAAATTCGATGAAAAATCGATTTTTGATCTGGTTTCCCACCTGCATATTCCCTTAAAATAGCAATGCCAATCGGGCTTTCCCGCGAGGCGAAAATTTGGTCCCCGTTTACGGGTGATTTTGCGGACCCGGCCGAAGCGTAGGTGACTAACTTTGTCAACCTCGGTCTGCTCTATTTCCGAACCAATCCGAATGAAACTCGGCTACCAATCAGAAAATAGGGCAAACTAATGATATGTGGACGTTGAAGTTCGTACACATAAATTAACCTATACTTTTGGTGTCGGGAACACTTTCGTATCGTGTACACCGAAAACTATAAGGAGTTTGAATTTCAACGCCCAGATGGTAATAGATCTATCTATCCTCTATAGTGTGCTCAAATTTGAGAGTTCTGTGTCAAGTAGTTGTTTAGACCCGATCGTAAATCTACGACTACCCCCCTATCCAAAGCGGCTTCGCACGGAGACCGGCCATTTTCCCCTCACTCCCGTGGCAAATGTCTGTGACCTACAAATCCCCGCATGACTATTCCGGGCCCGTTCATTGGTCACTTGAAATAGGGCAATGGCGGGCGCGCGCATCCGGTTGTTTTTCTCTCTATTCCCCTGTAACATCGCAATGGGGGTATTCCGAGGCGAGGTTATCTCGTCTCGGGGTGTTCGCGTCTCAACGGGGAAAAAGAATTTTTAATTGTACGGCATGCTAGATTGAATTAACTTATCTTTTACGGTTGGCATGGTCTAAAGTCATCATAAAAAGCTTTGCAATTATTTAGTCACGCTGCTGACATATATTCTTAAAGATCCCATGTTGTGATACGATGCTATAAATAAAATGGACTCATCCTGACACCCCTTTTTCGCAAAATCGTAATATGTACACCACAATTTTAATTATAACAAAATAACTACGAAATTGGTAGTAAATCTGACTGCAGAAATGATTTCTACACTCAAAAACACATCGGGTAGCCAAGTTTCTCTCGAACACTCGGATTAGTTACCGAGATATCGTTGATTTTCTTACAGAATCTGCTACTGCGTGGTCCACTTTTTAGGAGTATTTTCCTATATGTGGGTCATCCATATTTTGCCGACCTTTACAACCCCATAACTTTTTTATTTATGAACCGTTTCTCAAAATTCAAGAAGCATGATTATTAGAATTGAAAATTCTTTCTTAGGTACCAAAAAAAAGGGGGCAAAAGTGAAAATTTAAATTTTCATTGGCATTGCTACTTAAAAGGAAAAATGTTGCAATTTTTCTGTTTTTTGGCAGTTGCTTCTGCTCATGTCTACGCACTTACGAATTATAAAGCTTTCTTTTATCGGCAGCCATTTTTATCCCAGGATTTAGGGTTGTTTTTGTTTTTTTCTTTCTTTCAGTTTTACTGTTTATTCTTTGTTTGCCATGAGGGGAGAATTATTCTGTGTATAGAAAGTATTCTTGCCTGGAATATGAGTAACGACTGTCGTTCCCTCTGCCTTTACGCCTGGAGAGTTGGTCGAATCGTTGGTTTGGGGCGAGCTGTTGGCGGAGGCTACAGTGTAGTCTTGTTTCTTTTACTTCCTTTTCAGTTTTGTTACTGTCCCAAACTACCTCTTGGAGAAATGTGGCCACTATTGTGTTGATTTACAGAACTGCTGTGGACTTGCGACTCTGTCCGGTTACTGGAGCCCCTCTTTTCATCTATTACTTCTTTTTGTGTAGATCTGTCAGTGGTGTTCCAAACTGGGACCCACCCCCTGGGACGGTGCTACTGACTGAAGTGTCTTTAGGCCAGTCCCAAAGGGGGGATATTTATACGTTCTTATGTATAGTAGAATTGGAAATGGGCTGATTCATCAATGACATGCTAATAACTGCCTCAACTGCAACAGGGAACTGCTGCTTTTTCTTTCTTATACTTACTATTGTCGTTTTCTTCTTTTGTATGTTTGTCACACTCTTGTGACTCACTATTTCCGGGGTGCCTTGATGGTCTAAGCAGACTTTGTGCTGTTGAAGCAGACTTTGTGCTGTTGAAGCTAGAGAGGTAAGCAGAGTAAGCCTGATTCCCTGTAAGGACTTCTCTGTTGACACCCACCCCTTGGCGCTCATATGACCTTATGCAGTTGCGAGCGCCGTAAAAACTCTACTAAAAACTTTAAAAAATAACTGGGGCCGTGTTAAAGCGTTTCCAGGATCTCATTTCTTCCAACTGGTCTGTTTCTAGAGCAGTGATTTAAAATCTTGTTAGAGATTCTGAACTTCACAAATTTCACATACATTTATATGTGCATTCACAGAAGCTGAGAACCGTTCAAATGCAGTGAATGGAATGGACACTCTCACATGCGATGTGTGTTTGTGTGTGTGTCTTTCCTCCGCACAGAGCCTGAGATCTAACTCTCCATCCCTCCTGGGATTCGAGTGAATCCAGGTTACAAATCACTGTTCAAAAGTAGTTTTTTGAAGGCTGTTTTTTCTGTGTGCAAAAACTTCATATTTGAACTGAGCTTTTTATCACCCATCTTGTCATATTGTGTGGAGAAACTTGATGAGCTTTTCATCGTTCATTTTGTCACAGAATAAGAGATATTCTCAGCTTCTCACGTGTTGTTTCATGGCATTAAAATTTATGTCTCTGAGTTTTGTGCAAGATTTAGAAGCTGTACAAGGACCACTTTGGTGGTGAAAAGGAAAACGTCCCTTTTGCTGACAACTGAAGCAAGTTCAATCATGCCTCCATGTTTTTGATAGACGTTAAATTCTGTATACTATGGTGTTTCATCTCTTCTTTTTTAAATTTACCCTTTCCATACGTCGTGTTCTACTATCGTATCCATACGGCGAAGGGAACTCTGTGCCCCCACTTTCCAAAGAGGAAATTTACTCGTTTATCCGTTCTGTACGCTTTGCATAGCAGTCTGTCAAAAGGATTTTTTGAGAAGTACTGAAAGTTTCAAAGAGATCTTCGTACTAGAAGCATTCGGATAGGGCTAAAGAGTACTCTCCTGTTCATCTCTCGCTTTTTCATTTGTTTCTGTCCCAAGATTACCCCTTTTCTTTTTTCTTTTATAGTTCAACTGACTGATTTTGCTTCCTAAGTTTTCTTCTTGCAAATATGAAACAGTTCTTGTTTCTCTCCAATCTTTCTTTCTTTGTTGATAAGTGTGACTCATAGTCTAAAGATAATTAATCTTGTATCAGTATTTTTACATGTGTATATCTCCACACTTCTGTTTTTCAGTTCCAACTTGAACTCATTCTTCTTTACTGGGTCTTTCAGAAGGCTCACTTCATACTTTAGACGATTTCCAGTTGTGACTTGTGCATATCTTCTCAGTTTTAGTTTCATCTTTCCAAGGATCAAATGGTGGTCTGGTGCGACGTCTGCTCCTCGTAAGACTCGGACGTCCTCCAGTGAGCGTCTAAACTTTCGGGAGATGCAAAAGTGGTCAATCTAGTTTTCCGTTGTTCCGTCCGGGGAGACCCAAATGGCCTTGTGAATCCTTTTGTGTGGGAAGATTGTACCTCCAATGACCAGGTTGTTGAATGTACAGAAGTTTTGGAACCTTTCTCCGTTGTCATTTGCCTCTCCACACACACTGGGATTCTTCCCACGAAGCTCTAGGAGTTTGCGGATGTCTGGCAGACACTGTAGTGTGGTGTGCTGCTCGTTTTCTCCCCGCTCTGGTGTTCATTCTCCACTCTATTCCTTAACATTTTCACAGTGGAGAGGATATATTGTTTGTCCACTTTGCCCACTCCTGTCTCTTTTTCGGTCATCATTACACCCATGTATACCTACCCTTGGTGAATTATGGCTGTTTGTATGCAGACTTCATGTCAGGTTTGAACGAGAAGCAACTGTTGCAGGAACTATGTTGCAAGTGTTACGAAGACCATTGGAAATGTCTGGCTTTGCTTTTCATTTACTGAGGCACCGATTTATAAGTTAAGAAGGTGATTACACTTTTTATACCAGAATTGTGTTTGACCTCGTATTAAGTGATCTTGTGCAGATCCAGGAGTTACATTTTGAAGGAGCTGCATTTTTTCTGTGAGGTGGTAGAGGTCATGAATGTACCCCTTTTTTTTCCTTTTGGTTGGCGGTGTTTTCCGTGTGATGTTGCTCCCTCCTGTATTTAATTCATAGTGCTGTCTTCTTGATTTGTTTACTGGAGGAATGTGGCTGTTGTTTTTAAACTCACTGAGGCCACATCGCCTCACTACCCAACAACCCAAATTCTTATTGTATCTTATGTCAAGTGTTAACACAATATTCGGAAAAGATCAGGGATCCTTATTCCTGACTCTGTTCCAAGTTTGTTCATTGAAATTTCACATTTCCAGGATGTATATGTTTTCCCCTGTAATTAATTATTGTCGACTCCTCTGAGCAGATGCTGTACATTTTGACTTGTGTGGAGGGGTATATGTTTATGTAGGTCTTCCCCTGTTTCTTTTTCCTCTTCATTACACAGCGTTGGGTCAGGTGCGGTGTAGCAGTAGCATGTCCACTTTTGATTACAGAGGTACTGCGTTCAAGTCCATTTGTCAATAAGGTTTATGGTGTCAAGGGGACTTCCTTTTCTTCAAAATGGCCACATGATGTAGGAACAGGTTCCCAGTTCCACATATGTTGCCATTTTGTACTTTCTAAGGTCAAGTCGTAAACACAAGTGATGCTCACCAGTTCCTCATTCTGTGACGTCCAGCTGACTCATCATAAAGATTGTAATTTTTTATTTCTTAATCAGTTTTGCTTCTTCTCAAACCGACAAGATGTTGCGGGATCACCCGATCTGTTCCCTCTTTCTTGTGTGACTGTTGTGCATAAAACGTGTCCCTACTAAACACTGCCAATGAAATTTCTCACTTTTTTCACTGATTTTGTCAAGCCTATCATCCTGTTCCCTTTTATTTTGGTGATGGGAATTGGACTTGATTGTTGTTATACATTTCTGTGAATTTTTTTTTTCCCTACCTTTGTCTTGTCTCTTTTCTGACCTGCAGAAGGTTAGTGGGCTGGGCGTTGCCATTTACAACCAGAACTGTTCTTACAACCACCTGTCCAAGATTCACCTGTACAAACGGCCACTTCCCCACATCTTGTGGGGCTTTTAAAATACAATACTGTCCGAGATGACCACTTTTCTCATCCACTATTGGTGATCTTCTTGGACAGGTTCAGCTGTATTTATTTTTTAAAGCGATTCGTTTGTCCTGGTCTGTTTCTAGCAAAATGCTTCTGGTTGTGAAGCTGTGCTGTTCATGCTATTCACTAGACTGACTACCCACTCTTATATTAAGTCTGGCTAAACAGGATCAAGTCAACTGGTATGGTTACTTCTCTCTTCTCTCTTTAGGCATCAACTTGTCTGTCCGAAAGGAAGGAACGGTGTAGCGGAGGTGTTCTTGGCATGCATTCACTGATGGAGGCTAGTTTGTGAAAACATTCTGTATTTTTGTAATTTTCATCTACAGACTTATGATGACCTTATGCAGTTGCAAGCACCGGAAAACTTTTATCAAACTAGAAAAAAGAAACACGTCTGTAGACCTTTCCCCTCTCATCAGGGTGAACCACATGCTCTTCATCTCATATTTTCCTGCGGCACCTCCATACACGATATTGTATCCAGTGGTTTTGCTTTTCTTCACTTGTCATTACTTACTTTCTCAAGGTGCTGCTCACAATACTCAGGCCAGTCCTGCTTCACCCCAGCATGTCTTATTATGTGTCCTATAAAAGCCCAAATACCTTCTTTCGTACTGTTCCTAAAGCAAATTGATACGTTGGACTTTAAAGGGTACGGTTGTAAACTTTATCCTCGGTATTGTTGGCTGTCAGTTTCAGGATCTCCAGGTCTTCTTTATTTATTTTTCATTATGCTAATAAGAAGGATTCGCAAGAAATGAACCCCCCCAAAGAAAATTCCTGCAAAAACAACAAAAACTCCTGGATAGAGGGTGATGAAACCGTCCAGTGGTTTGGTTCATCCAAGTGTTTATAGGTCTCTCTCTTTCTTTTTCTTTTTTGCTTGTACACTTTGCAGCCTATACCTCGTCATAAGCACATGATCGTAATGGCAAAAGATCAGTGCTGGGGACACAAAAGTTTGTGGCACTACCATAATGAGACACTGCATCCCTACCTTCCACCCTCCATGATTTGCTGCTTGTTTCAGAGAGGAAGTCGGAGAACTCTAAGCAGAAAATTGCCATAATCCACCGCATCCCGTGCTCGATGGGCAGGAAGATGCTCTCACCTCTCTTCCCGTATTCTGTGGGGATCAAAATTCCAGAGCAAAAGGCTTTGTACAATGGGTAAGTACTCAAGTGACCACCCAGTGGGTCCACTATTCAACAGTTCACACCAAGTGACCACCCAGTTGGTCCACTACTCAACAGTTCACACCAAGTGACCCCCCTATTGGTCAACTACTCAACAATCCACATCAAGTGACCCCCCTAATTGGTCAACTACTCAACAATCCACACCAAGTGACCATATCACCTAATTGATCCAGTACACCGCAGTCCTCACAGATGTGTGTGAGGCCCAGAGATTCAGTTCTTGCTCAAGTTAAACAGAACTGTCAGTGTTTTGAGCTCCCCAGCTCAAAGATGCATATATGACGGGCCATACACTTATTATACATGTTTTAAAAATTGCTTAATTTTAAGGGGAAGCAGAATTGCATGTGTCATGAGAAAAAACATTTGACAAACCCAGTAGGTGCTTGCTTGGCAAACTGTTGTCATGATAGTTGATACTCAAATAGTGAAGGTTGTTTTGACTGCAATCATTTTCAAAACTAAACTCTGGAATCAGGTGCTTGTCAAAATTTTGAAATTGAAGAAACCGACAATTTTGTGTCCATCTTGCGATTTGTGTTGATTTTTTGTTGTTTTGGTGTAACACTTTTTAATGTTTATTGCGTACAGTGTACATGTTTCTGGGTTGATTTTACCGGAAAACATTGATCAAAGGAACGCCCCCCAAAAAATGTAGATTTGCAGTTGCTTTAGAATTCACCAAACTTTGGCGGCTATTTTGTTGCTAATTTTACCTCTGACATCAGGTAACACCACCTTCTATCGTAAATATTTCGACCTCCTTTTAGGATAGACTGGCTTTTTTTTTTTTCACTACAAGCAAAACAAACAAGCATTAAGATGACACCCGGTACTACAACAATCCACATGCCCCAAAATTGACAAACGCCTGATTTCACCATGATGCCTGACTTGTCATAACCATACTGTCCAAGAGGACCTCCTGTCAAAGATGACCACTTTTCTTCTCGACACCAAGTGGTTGCCTTGGACAGGTTTGACTGTGTTTGATTTATGGAGTTTGTGCTGTTTGGTTGGAGAATGGTGATGGGTGTTGTGAGGTGGGCCTACGGCTTAGAAGTAAGCCTCTATATCATTAGATTTATCCTTGAACCGACAACCCCTGTCCTTGACACCCCAGGGAAGGAGACTATTCATGGCTTTATTACGAAATTTTAAGCCTGAATATGAATAGTTTTTTTGTTGATTACTAAATTATATCATGCTGATGGGTGGGCAGCCTTGTACCACATATGTTGAGGCAGTTGTACGTTGTACACAAGGGTATAAGTAGCGTCCACACGTGTCTAACGGATTGGTCAGGTTGTTAGTCAAGGCACCACAACAATACAGGTATAGCAACTGTCCCGAATTTCCCAGGACGGTCGAGGATTCGACAATCTTGGAATTTGAGAGCCTTGTCACATACACAATAAGCTACCAAAACCAGTCCCAGTTGATGCAGTTTTGTTTGTCGTTATACGATCTGATTTGATTAGGTTGAATGTCCATTGTGATTGGGTTTAGAAAAGGTTGGCAAGCCTGCTTCAAGGAAGCGATGAATTCTGAAACTTCCCTTCTTCACTCGGCAGACATCTGTGTGAAGTTATTAGGCCTTGCACAAAAGAAAACAAATTTCTGTCTACAGGTGAGTGGGTGGTGGGTATTTTTAGGTGGGTGTTTCCAACTTTCCACTGAGATATTGTTGGACAGAAAGGTTCAAAACGTTCTAAATAAGCACTTTCAATCCATGATGATCAAGATGCTAGTTGTCCCAGTTGTGTTAGTGCTGGCTCTCCTGTACTTTGTTGCCAATGTCTTAAAATCTCAGTCTCTGTTCTAGAACCATATGGTAACATTGACTGCCACCGTGCCGCCCCCCCCACCCCCCCTCAAGTCAGATTTTTGTCGATTGTCAATTTACCTTTCCCAAGTTCAATGAGGATATTTGGGTAGACACAAGTTGAATGTCCAACTTCTCTCTCGTTTCTGTCATTTTCTTTTTCTCTTTTGCGGTATGTTCAATTGTGGATCAGTTGGCAGGTTCCCCTATTGTAGAGGAAGACTACTGTGACTATGGCTACGATAGCTACTTTTTCTTTCCTCATCCTTACTATCATAATTTTTACTCTACCTCTTTTGTATGTTTGTCACTCTCTTGTGCCTTGATAGTCGAAGAAGACTTTATGCTGTTGAAGCTAGAGAGGTGAGCAGAGTAAGCTTGATTTCCCGTTTGGACTTTTCTGTCGACTTCCACCCCTTGACGCTCGTATGACGTTATGCAGTTGTGAGCGCCGTAGAACCTTACTTAACAAGCAGTTGACCCTGGTTCAAATCTCTGACAGAACAGTACTACAGTACTGAATTTGTGTTATTACACCATTCAGTTTTATTGGAGATCATAGATGGGTGTCAGCTTTGAGTTTCTGCTTCTAAAATAACCATACAGTGTTGAAAGTTACATCATCCAATCCTGTTGGAGCTTTTGAGTTTTCCTTTCTTTCCTGGCTGTGTTGTAAGGGACGTTAAATCCATACCTTACATGTTGGGAGCTCAACATTTCGGCGCTAGTCATACTTGGCTGCTTGGACTGACCACAATTCAGCACAACCCGCCAACAATTTTCCTTACACCAGGAAAGGTCCTCTTTTCAGGGCTACTCAGAAAAACTTTTCCTGAGTGAGGGAAATGTCATTCTGAGAAAAAGAATTACAGAATCGAGAAGTGCCAACCATTGGATTTCCTTGTTGATTTGGAAGCCTCTATACTAGGTGCTCTGGGTTCTGCTTTGCCAGAATGCACCATTATAAGGTATTTATAGCTTCCGCCTCGGTCAAGCCTGGAACTGAAAAACTCAAGGTTTGGGATTGTCTTTTGTGAACAGACCTCGGGTCTCAGTTGTTGGCTGAAACTGAAGTTGTTTTTCGCCATGTTTGTTCTTGCATGAGGCAATGCCCTGGATAAAACTAACTCAAAAAAATTTTTCTAAAATGAATGAGGCTGCCCTTAACAGCACCAAATCTTGCTTACATCGAGGCCAAAAAAGCTCCCAACTATCTAAGGGCACCCTATGATGCTATCGATAGGGTGGAGCCATCTGCTGTGGTTTACCCCTTGTCTTCTTTTGTTCCCAAAGGCCCCATAGTTCTCAACATATGCATGCAAGGACTGCAGGCATTTTGGCACAGTGTTAAGGCTTTTTGCTCTCTAGAGACAAGTTGAGAGTACGATACCCACTTGGGAGAAGTCTGTTTATTTTTGTTCAGCTTTTCCGTCTTTCTTCTGAGAGTTATTGTCTCACTCAACCGCTCTTCCCTGACCAAGGGAGATGAATCAGCCGAGCCTGTAAATCACGGGTACAGAGTAATCATCTCTCATCATTTCTACAAAGACGCCTTTGCTTCCACCTCAGAATCCACCTGCTCCCAGTTGGTGGCATGAAGTGTGAAAGTATTGCTAGGTATATTTTTATGTCGCCATTTTGCTGGAATAAAGCTCCTTCCCAAAATTCTCTCTTTTTTTTTCTCTGCAAAGTGTTCTGTGCTGAAGTGGCCTTCTTGTGTTATGCTGGCAAGATGTTCTAGATTTAGAATGTAAAACATTTTATTCACAAAAAAATCTGTTGTCGTGGTGCCTTTCTTCCCCACTGACGTGACTTGTTTACACTCACAGGATCTGATTGATAATGTGAAGAGAAGCATTGGGGTTCCACCTTGCCTAGTTGAGATCCAATTTTTCTATAGACTTTAAAAAACCTATGTCAAGAAATGGGTTGAAGTACTGTAACCCTGAACATTTGTCACGGAAATCTGAGTGTTAATGGACATTTGATGCAGCGGTCCTTTGCTGTTGCTTTTTTTTTTTTTTCCTCTGTTGTTTCTGTTTGTCTGTCTTGCTTTTTCCCTGCACACGATGACCATTATCATGGCGATGTGCTTTTATTTACTCAGACGAACAAAACAATGATGTTGTGGGTCAGCCCTTTGCCTTAGTCACGAAAGACTTGAGGTGGTGTTCTGTATTCATGTGGGGAAACATTTTATCAAGCGTGTTAGTGTTGGGATGGTGTATCCCTCTCAGCCTAAGCTAACCCTGACACTGACAAGCAGAGTGAAGCTGTCCGCTTCCTAAAGAAACGAACTTGTATCAATGGAGGCATAAAACATAGTTATACATTCTCTTCTGGAATGTCAGTTTACATGTTTTTCATGTTCCTCTTTTCTGAAATCTTGCAAGTTTTTAATAGGCTCAGTGAAAGTAGAGAACAAACTTCAAGGATGATTGTCTCCATAAATGGTCTCTTTGACTTTGAACCCGCGCAAAACAAGAGTGCATTGTTTACTGGATGCATTGTTATCTCAGCTGGTGTCAACCTGGAAAAAGATGTGCATGAGCCTGGTTCAAATCCCCAACAAGGCGTTATTGTACTAAAGTTGGTTTGGGGGTTCTCAAGGTTCTCAACGCTCGCTGGTTTGTATCGGAGAACATTTTCGGCAGAGGCCTGCCGCGAGTACAATAGTACATCAGTGTTGAAAGTGTCATTGACCTGATCACTGGCTGATGCGAATGCCGAAAACTTAAAACAGTAACAAAAGCTGATGTCGTACTTGCACAGCTTGCACTGTATGCTTCCGAGGGAGTTGAGATTGTTTCAGAATGCCATCAGGACGGCTGGGATAATAATATAGATTGTAAAGCGCATAGAGCTTGCTGTTGAGCGGGGATTTGCGCTTTCCAAATGCTGTCTATTATTGTAACCAAAAGTTGCTGGAAGCTGCTTTTTTGGAGGCAAGTGATTTCCCTGTTGACAATGATGTCGACCGTCTATGCGCAAGGGATGTATCGTACACGGGACTTGTCCAGTTGTCTCTCTTATTGACGTTTTGAGAGGTGATACTTCCAGTCTCCGCTTTAATTTTTCTTGTCTTCAACAGCTTCTTCTTGGTAGTAAGCATCATTTTATCATTCCTCTTCCATTTTGACCTTAATTCTGGATTATATTCTCAAATGCAACTTTCATTAACTGTGGCTATTGTTGGATCTGAAAAGTAACTATTGCTTTCCGTCCGTGTTTTGGGATTTTTTGATCGAGTGTCTCCATCTGTCTGCTGGGATGTTTTATCACTCGGCCCACCGGGTTGGTCCTGACAAGCAGGGTTGAAGCCGACTGACTGCCTGCTAAATGATGTTGTAAATTGTGTCCGTATGGTTGTATAACATTTACAAATAAACAATTTTTGCAGACCCGTCGAGGTAGTCTTTGAAAGCGAGGCCTGGATGAATGCTGTTCTGAGCTGCTTCAGGAACCTATGCTTTCATGCTAAGAAGGACATGCAACACAAGTTTTTCCTTCTGATCAAGAACTTTGAGGTGCCAAAAGAATCACTTTCAGGTAAATTTGTGTTACGGTACAAACGCAGTGGATCGGCCTTTCAGCCCCTTTCGCCAACTAAAAAAAAATGTGAGGAAAGGGAGGCGAATGGGAAGGGACCTGAAGCGACAGAGTGTATTCACCCTCCTCCCCTCATCCTTTCCTTTTTGCTCTATGAAGCTGATGTTGCTGCTTTGGTTAAAACGATAATTTCAAATTTCACGCTGATATTGGGTTCATAGAATTAATGAACTCTGAGAAACAATTACTTTTTGCAAATATAATATTACCATTTAGAGGATAATGTTCTTAGAAATGACGATTGAGAAAAAAAACCTTATCTGAAAATGAAAGTTGTTGCATTCTGACTTCTCCTTGATAAGATTGGCCCTTATGTAAAACAAAAACATCAATTTTGAAAAATAATTCCAATACCACTATGTACTCCGTGGGAATGAGCGAGGCGAACTTACTTTATGGGCAGACCTTAGTTGACCACTTTTTTTGCATTAGGGGGGAGTGAAGCGAAAGGGATGAAAGGCGAACCCACTGTAGCACACGCAATGCATTTGTTGATTAAAAACTATTGCCAAAAAAGGGAGGTGAGGCGGATACCCCCCAAAAAAGGTGGGGAAGACGAGTCCACTGTGTTTGCACGTTTAGTGACAGTCTTTCTTTCTTTCTGTATTTCTCTTTTTTTTCTTTCTATCTTTCTTTTGTTTTTCGGGCCTCCTCTTATTGCTAAGTGTTTTTGTTTTGTTCTTGTGTCCTTGCTTAATATTTTCAAGATTACAAAATGTAAATAGTGTTCATACGCAAGATTTTTTATAAGTGTGCGTCTCCTTCTAAACTTAAAAGGTCCTGGCTAAAACGAAACCCAATATAGGCAGGGTCAAAGTAGACGGCCTGCTAATTGATATTTCTAACCTCTATCAATTGGAGTGTAAAAAATCTGTATTAAAAATAGTAATCAAAAGACTCCTTCTTAATCATTGTTTTTTTTTTTACTTTTCAGACAAAAGTGAACATGATAGAAGACCGGAAGTGCGCGGCCGTGGGTTTTCTCCTGGGTCGTCTTCACGGCCAGGGTTTGTTGGAGGTCGGTCTGCTAGTGGAGACAGGTCAAAGGACCGTCGCGATGGCACCGGTCAGCGGGACAGGTCTGGCCAGAGGAAACAAGGACAAAGCGTTTTCAGGCAGGGGGGGCTTCAGCGTGAAAGGTCGATGGAGAGAAAGGGCCGATTTGATCGTCCTCATCAGACTAGGTTGGTGCATGGAAATGTACAGACATTTTTTACCGTATGTAGTTTCGAGCACAGTAAAACTCTAAATAAACAATATTTATTTTTTATCCTTGTGATTATATCTTCTATTATATTTGTGCTTTTTACTGGTAGAACTGTTTTATGCAGACTTCTACGCAATGATCCCTCCGATATTTTACCAGCATTTGTGATTTAGTGATTAGATGCTCCTCTGAAGCATTCAGAAGACCTAATTTTTTATTCTCATGTGAGAAGAATTTTTGTATTTCAGTTTTTATGGTGGGATGTTGTATCCCCCTCAAGCTAACTTGGCCGGTATTGAAAGATTAAAAGTTTGCCATCTAATTAATGATCTAAACTGTGTTGATGGGGGGCATAAAAGACCTACATTTAAAAAAGAAATGTCAGAGCTATTGTGTTTGTTTGTCATAAATTATTGCTCTGCAAGACACATCTTGTGATCACCGTCTGTCGGAGATTAGTTTGGTATCTCAAAAGGAACGCTGCACTTGAAAAACTCATGAAAACAATACCTTTTTGTCAACTGTTCTTCCCCAAAGTCAAAGGGATATCCTCATGGATTTGTATGAGTTGGTGGTTGGTGGGCGCTCTGATGTGGTTTGCTCCTTCTTTCCTATCAAACATGTGTCGTCCTTATCTCTCCTCTATCTTATTCGTGTTTGTTACTTTCTTGTAACACTTCTAATCTTCATGGCCTATAGGACCTATTTGTGTTGCAAATGCTGTAAAACTGTTAATAAAAGAATTTGCTCGGATACTACAGTTTCAGGACTCCCGAGAAAATGAGTGAGACTGCATCGATCATGGCATCAAACTTGGAAGGGGTGCGCAACATAGCAGCAGCGAGGGAACTTGATGTGAATAACCCAGACGTGCTGCGGATATTAGAGGTGAGTTTACTTTATTGATAGAACAATGTGCTCAAGCCTACAGAAGTGCCAAGTACTCCTATAAAATTGAACCCCTAAAATTCTTCTTATTTTTTCTTACCTTTAGGCTATATAGAAGAAACTCTTTCAGATTTGCGTAAAATCCATTTTTTAATAAAAAATTCAGTTTCTTTCCGTCGTACGCGTCTTACGGTAAGTGAAATGAAAATGCATCATTTTATTTGCTTGTATTTGCAAAGCCCATATATTTGTTATGACGGACGGGTTCATCATGTAATCAGAATCTACTGGAGTTCTGGAGACTCACAATTTTTTTGCCCCCCCTCTGATTTTTTTTTTAGGAGGATTCTGAAGAAAGCACTTATTTTTTGTCAAGGACGGGTTGGCAGGTCCAAGTCTGTCATTGGACATAAGTTATATCCCTGTTTGTCTCGTCCTCTCACCCTGTTTGTCTCGTCCTCTCACTGTTTGTCTCGTCCTCTCTCCCTGTTTGTCTCGTCCTCTCACAGTTTGTCTCATCCTCTCACTGTTTGTCTCGTCCTCTCACTGTTTGTCTCGTCCTCTCACTCTGTTTGTCTTGTCCTCTCACTCTGTTTGTCTTGTCCTCTCACCCTGTTTGTCTCGTCCTCTCACCTCGTCCTCTCGCTGTTTGTCTCGTCCTCTCACACTGTTTGTCTCTTCCTCTCACTCTGTTTGTCTCGTCCTCTCACTCTGTTTGTCTCGTCCTTTCTCTCTGTTTGTCTCGTCCTTCTGTTTGTCTCGTCCTCTCTCCCTGTTTGTCTCGTCCTCTCACCATGTTTGTCTCGTCCTCCCTAGATGCAGCTCCAGCTGGAAACTCTACACAACATCACGCGGCGTCAGGCCATGGAGGCCAACAGTCTCGGGATCAGCGTCCCTCACGTGATCGCTGGCCGTGGCCTGGGCCAGGGGGCCGAGCTGGACGTGGCCCGAGAAAACGCTCTGAGACAAGGGGACTCGATGCGTTTCCTGCGAGACCAGCGGGGGCATCAGGAGGAGGTCAGAGATCGGGAAGCTTTGAGATTAAGGGAAGCACGGCAACGAGAGGAAAGTTTGGCGCAGGGGAGTGTGCAGAGACTGGAGGAGGCTCGGAGATGGAACGAGGCGAGGAACGTTGAGGAAGCGAAGAGACGAGATGAAATGCTGAGACGGGAAGAAGCCGAGAGACAGAGGGTGTTACTTCAAGAGGATGCCCTGAGACGTGAACGAGAGAAAAGACAACAGGATCTGCTCATGGCAAGCGCTCGGAAGGATTTCAGACAAGACCATCACACACCCCGACAGAGGTTTCAAGGTTCTGACTACCGAAATCAAGTGGAAGGAAGTTCCAGGCAGGACAGTAGCTTACGCGGGAACGGTCTGCTGCCTACTCCTCCAGCTAGTGGTGTAGTTCCGGCAGGGGCTGGGGCAGCCTCCAGCACTACGAAGACGTCATCCCCGTTCCTGTCTTCCAAAGCCAAACACGACTATGGCAGCAGGCAAAGGTCAACGCCCTCGTCCAGATGGACTCCCCAAAGGACAGAAGACAGTGGCCGGCGTAGCCAGAGCTCTGATAAAAAATCTGGGGTTTCCCCGGGTCCTCGACAGGGCCAGAAGGACAGGAGCAGCCAATCTAAAGATGCAGGACAAAACCAGGACAAGCCATCTCCGTTCAAACGTCGGTCAAGATGGGAAGATGTTGCGGAGCCTGGACAGCGTGCCGGGGATCCCGCGCAGAAACGGAGGAAACAGTCTCGATGGGAAACCCAAGAAGACGGCAGAAAGTCAGCAGGTATTTTGTTGGGGGTTGGGCTTTTAGTATGTGTGTGTCTGTGTTGTTTGGTTTTTTTTTCAGGGGAGAAGGTAACAACAGTTTGAAATTTGAGAGGAACACGATCATGTGCACTGCACCAAAACCAGTCCTACTTTATGTGATTTTGTTCATTGTTATGTAATCTGATGTTATGATCTTTCTTGTCTCTGTTTTTATAGTGTTGCAAGTGTTGTAAAACTTCTATCGAACCAAACCAACTTGATTTTGGTTTTGATAAAGTTAGCAAGCGTGCTTTACTCAACTGTGCAGTTGCAAACATTGCTTAACATTTATCCAACTTAAACCTTTACTCAAGTCGTGGCTTCTCATCCTGCTACCAGCTATGCTATTGAGTGTTGTTGTGTGGTATATTCTGACTTTACAAAAGGTCAGAGAAATTGTGATGAAGGGCCATTCCGTGACAATGAAAACTGCAATGACACATGGAATGCATTGATGATGATCTGCAATGACACATGGAATGCCTTGATGATGATCTGCTAAAAAAAATTCTACTGTACATCAGATCCGTTTTGTATTTGTTTTTTGTTTTTATATAATTTGTTTTTTCTTTTTTTTTAAACTTTTATTTGCCTTTTTCCTGTTATTACAGTTAGAGGCCACCTTTCTCTACAGTTGAACTAGTAACTTATTTTGATTTAATCAATATGTATCCACAGACACTTTTGTATGTATTCAAAAGTAGTGTTGAGATGTGTTGGATATGGAGTGATGCACGTAGCATGGAATGGCCTTGTAGTGTCAGTTATTTTCTTATAATTACTCACACGACTTTTTTTTGGTCTTGACCAGAGACAGCTGGGAATCCGGTTCCAGGTGGTGTGGATCCGACAAGAAATGATCAACCTTTGACCTTCGGGCGTCCGCCTCCAGCGAAGTCTGTGGAGGATGCAGTCCGTGACGACATGGAGAGGTCTTTGAAAGCATCGTCGGCGAGTAAAGGAGCGTCGCTCGCTGTGTTGAACCAGACACACAGAGGTCATCGGGCCAGCGCAGCAGCAGAGGAGGTTCTTCTGCCCGTGCAGTTCGGCAAAAATGCTGAAAAGAAAACTCCTTTTGTGTTAGCTTCAGAGAAAAATAAAAATGAAAAGCTCATGGGTAACAGAAGAGACAGTAAGGGTTGGAACCCCAACGCTGTGGATTTGGGTGAAGCTTCTAGACCTAAGTTTCACAACGTAGCAGATGGTCAGCAGCGCGATTTTCACCAGGCAGGAATGAGTCGAGGTAGGGGCGGGGTCCTAAATAGAGGAGGTCAGGGCGGGAGTCCGCTGTCGAGGGGAGCATTCAGCACCGGTGCTCAGAGGGGGCGGGGCGTCGGTCGAGGGGAGAGGAAGGATTCGTGGAGCGAGCAGGGGTCTGAGAGGTCGTGGCAGAGAGATGAGTTTGCCAGGAAGGGCGGGTTTGGTCCACAGAAAGAGCAGCAGCAGCGTCCGGATAAAGGTCGCGGTGGGAGGTTTTCCGGGCGAGGTGGTTTCGGCGCAGAGTCTGCGTTTAGGCCGCAACAAGAGGAAGAAATTCCTGAACGATCGCAGTTTGGAGGCGGTTATGAACACGAACAAGACGGACGCGGTAGAGAAGGGAGAAGCTTCTTTGGGGAGTCTGGAGGCGTTCATTCCCGCCATGCCCCGGATGAGAGTAAAAACTGGGAAAGAGATAGGAAGGCTGAGCATTTCGACCCTCATTCTTTTGCAGTACCAGAGTCGCGGCACAGTGCGAGGGATGGGCAGGTACTGGGAGGACGTAAGGTTGCCAATTTGCCAGGCCAGCTGGGTAGTCGCGGTGGTGGCGGGCAAAGAGGTAGAGGGGTTGGGAGGATTGAGTCGCAGCGAGAATTTTTCCCCAAGGAACACACGGGCTACGGTCAAGAGGAGCACTGGGACTATGATAGTGGGGTACATCCGGAGCACGGTGCAGACGCCTATTTGGATCGCGGAAGGGATGGGGGCAGAGAGGGCGAGGTGGGATGGGATGAGGAAAAAGAGGTGAGGGGAGGGTTTCCTCATCCTCGTCCTGCTCAAGGGGGAGTGGACTACGGGAAACCTTTTGGTGGAGGGGATGGGTCGTTGAGGGGGAGGGGTGGTGGACGTGGCGTTCCCGAGCCGGGCAGAGAAGGAAGTGGGCTACGGGGTAGAGGTGGTAGAGGAGGGTTTATGGGGAGAGGGGGCCAGGCCCAACAGGACAGTGGTCGTTTCCACGAAGGCAGGGGAGGGCGTTTGGATAGAGGTCGAGCTGGACTTTCTAATGTGTCTCGGGGTGGTCATTTTGAGCAAGGTGGAAGGGAGAGTTTCTCTGAGGGGAGTGGAGGGGGTCTATCTAATAGAGGAAGAGGGGGCTATTCCGATAGGGGCAGAGGGGGTGTGTCGGAGAGAGGCAAAGGTGGTCTCCCTGAGAGAGGAAGAGGAGGCTTGTCAGAGAGAGGCAGAGGAGGCGTGTCTGAAAGAGGCAGAGGTGTATTTTCTAACAGAGGGAGGGGGGCTGCACCCCCTCATGGCCAGAATGTTGTTGAGCGTGAGTGGGGCAGAAATGTTCAAAGTTCCGACCACCGATTTCAGGCTCCCGCCGGCTCCCACTCGGAGGATTATGGGTATGGTGGTGAAGATCAGCCTCAGTACGAGGAAGTGGAGGGAGAGTATGGATATAGAGAGAAGAGGGGCCCTCCGCATGAGCAACGGGGAAGTTTTGGGCATCAAGGACAGAATTTTGGGTCGGGTGGAAGTGGGGCGCATCACGGCCAGGATTATGGTTACGATGAGACGTCTTCCAGTGACCTTCATTTTCACGGGCAAGATGAACACCGGGGAGCTGCTGCGTGGCACGAGACGCCAGACCGAGGAAGAGGCAGAGGCTCTCAGCCTCCGGGCAGAGGTCGAGGTGTTGCCGCCAGCCGGCCACCTCAGGCAGGAGCAGCCAGAGGCAGGGGGAGGGGCAGACCCTCTCTCTTACAAACTCCCCCGGCAGCGTCATCGCAGGAGTACGGGGAAAAGGGCTACGGTGGTGAAGGAGACTTTGCCCAGTACGGAGGGTACGAGGGAGGCAGCTACGGCGAGCCCAGCCAGTACGAACACTCTTACGAAGGTGAAGGTCAGAAAGTTGGGGAGTACGGCAAACCGTTTGTGGCCGATCCGCCAGCGGTCCATCATCTGCGTGGCCGAGGGGTTCGAGGTCGCACCAGACCGGCCCGGGGGCGCGGCGGATCCTTCCAGGCCCCATACCCTCAATCGCAGTCTCAGCAGCATTTGCCCATGGACAGTGACATATTTTTCTAGTTGCAGTTTTGATTTTGTTTGAGGGGAGGGGGTCTATATATCTATATATATATATATATATATATATATATATATATATATATATATATATATATATATATATACATATATATATATATATATATATATATATATATATATATATATATATATATATATATATAGATAGATAGATAGATAGATATATAGATATATATATATATATATAGATAGATAGATAGATAGATAGATAGATATATATATGTATTATTGTTTTTGTTTTTTTTAAGACTGTTTAGTGCTCTTATCCTATTACTGAGAGCAATGGGTCATGACATCCCTACTGGTTTTGTGCGGTCTGCTGGTTAAGAGTAAGAGATGCAGTGGCTGTCAAAATAAGATGAAAGTAGAAGTCAAGTTTTTATTGGTCACTGTCCTATTCTCATCATTTTGACATCAAAAAGACGTTTGGTGCTGTAGGGCGGGAGAATGTGAAACAGAAAAAAATGACAATGAAGTTAAAAGAAATTTTCAAAGAAACACACCTGTTAGAACTGAAAAAAAAAATACTTGAAAAGGTGTTTTTGTAAAAACAGCTATAGAGAACTAAAACTTTACTCTTCACCTCATGGTTACTCACAATGCTGGGGCTTTTTTAAATATTTTTTTTTATTGAACTCTAAAAGTGACAGTTATGCATCACTTACTTGGTCATTAATTCAAAACAAATGAACCTATTTGGATAGTTCTTTATCTAATGAATGAACTCCTGGGGAAAGAGACCTGTTTTTGTTTTCGGCTATGATTACTAAAAACTAATTTGACATCTAAATCATCACGATGTAATCTGCCCGAGCCGCTGGCAGTGGCTCATCGGCACTGTGGATCCGACTTCGAGCCACTGGGAGTCACTTGCCAGAGATTTAAGATGTCAAGATGTAACTGTAAAAAACATAAGCACGTGATCATTTTGATCAAATCTGCATTGGGCACCTTTCAAGCCTCCTAGCCTAGCAGAAAATCCCCCACTGTGTCCTACATTTTCTTTTGATTGCCACTGACACTCATAATAATCCTTATACATAAGTCTACTTTTTTAACTCTTTAAATCCCATCGGACACTCACTAGTGACAACTTTCGCTTTATTTAGTGCTAGTCTTTTGCTTGTTTTTTTTTTTGTTGGAACTATTCCCTGAACCAAGGTTTTTTTTAGTAATGACTACGCCTTTGTTGGTTTCAGCCATTTGAAAGTTGAAGGCAAGCATTTAGGGTTATAATGAGACATACTGCACCAGGTTTAGGTGACTGTAGGAAAAAAACTCGGGGAAACGGTGGAAAAAATTCAGGGTTTAAAGAGTTCATGCCTATGTTAATGCAACAGATCAAGAAAATAATTTTGCCCAGATTTTGCCTTCAGAGAAAGGGCCCATACTCCGTATTATGTGAAACCCAAATCACCTGTATTTGGGTGGTTGGCAGGTGCTCTGGTGTGGTTTGCTCCTTCTTTCCTATCTTCCTTATCTCCGCTCCTTCTTCTTTATGTTTGTTACTCTCTTGTAACACCTCTTAATCTTCTGGCGCTCATATGACCTTATGGAGTTGCGAGCGCAGTAAAACCTCTACTAAAACAAAACAAAAAACTTCGTTATACATTTTATGACTGCTGTGTATAACTTTTTGTTTGTAAATATAATGTTGTAGGCTAGAATGTAGGATAGAGAGACAGGGGAAAAGAGGATTTTGTGAGGAAGGAGATAAAAAAGAGTGAGAACTGATGATTTTTGAGACAGGTGGAGAGTGAGATTTTCAGACAAAGAGAGACAGAGATCATAATGGAGAAATGGGGGATTTTTCTATGACGGAAAGAAAGTTGAAATGGGATTTTCTGACACAAACAGAGAGTGAGTGAGGACAGGATGTTTTCTGACAAAGAAGAGAGAGAGTGTGAAGAATTTTGTGACCCTGTGTGTGTTAATACTTTGTGAATACATTTTGGGTGAGTGATGAAAGTCGAAGTCTTAAGTTCAAAGCAACTTTGGTTTTATTTGTGCAGAGAATAAATACGTTACACTTAATCCGTATCTTTTCATTCCTTTTTCTGTCATGACCCCACGCTGATCATAGACTTTTTACTGGATGAAACCCTTGGATTTAGGGAAAAACCGTGGTTAGTTTACTACTTTGTAAATGTCTGTTTATGAATAAAATTGATCTTTTGCCTTAAATTGCAAGGCATGGTTTTTTTACTTGTAAATATCTGTTTTATTACAAAATTGATCTTTTTTTCTCAAAGTGTGTTGTTTCTGTTGCTCAAATTTATTCCTTTTTTTTTCCAACTACAAAAAAAAATGATGTGCATTTATTTTCTAGGAAAGGGATGTATAGCCAAAGTTTTTTCATTTGTAGCACTTGTAGGTCTAATGTACTTTAGACTGGGATATCCTAATGACCATGATCTATGTTTTTACTGAAAGTGGTCATGCTTGAGATCAATTTGACACTGAAGTCCTTGAGGGTGGGTGCACCTTTAGTACGATGGTACCACGTTGTGGTCCTAGAGAGAAGCCCGCAAGCTGTGCACACCCACAAGTGGAAGTGGAGCTTTTAAATGTTCACAATGTGGCAAACTTTTCTCTCTGCCAGAATTGGTCTCATCGGCCTCAGCAGAAGCCACAAGTCATTGTAACTCTTAATTCTCCTAATTCTTCTACTTTGCTGGAGAAATATTCTCCTCTGCGGATGTATTAATGTATTGGTCGTCATCATCAGGCATTGACAGATGTGCTATTATAATGTTTGACTTCAGAGTGGATGGCCTTGGTTTGAATCCCTCTCTGGCCGTTGTAAACTTGGGTTGTTTTGGGTAGAGTTACAAGCTTACCACACATTTGGCTCAGTCTTATCTGAGATGGATGTTGTTAAATTTGGAAGCCCCCGCCTCTTTGATAACTTTATAGTGTTGAAAGGAGCATTCATGAATCATAGTTGCCAGCCGATATATAAAATATGTATGTAATAGTTGAATGTTTTGAGAAATGAGTGTAAAAACATCCTTTAAGATCTGAGTGTATAGAAGTTCGTTTTTGTGTTGGAAAATGCTTATTCTGTGCTTTCTGTTTGTTCCTCGTGGACTTACTGATGCTGGAGAAAAATTATGAACGTTCAAGACTGGATGTGAGAATGATGCCAATAGGACAATTACCATAGTTTAGTTGGTAAGCTGTCAGAGTACATTGCATAGGGGTTACTTGGCCAGTGCCCACCATTTTGACCCACCACCGTGTATGTAGGTAGAGTCTGGTTTGTTTGTGTGTTGTTGTTGTTTTGTTTTGGTTTGATTTGTTTGTTGTTTTGTTTTTTTTTAGGAAAAGTTGTCGTCCATGGGCATTAATCTATACGGCGATGTATGAGACTATTGACTTGATGGCTTGTTCACTCATGTAGGCTTACTTTTCTAGAGTTTTATTAAACTTGTATTTTCGTGAACTTTGGAGAGTATTCGATCTGAAGTTTTTGTTTTCAATTAATGTAAGAGATGTTCCAGTTCACCGTCCGCAAGATCTACTTGTGTTTTTTCTACAAAGCTATTTGTGTTTAAAACCTATGTTCATGTTGGAATTGAATTTGTTTTAAAGCAATAAAGAAACGTAAAATGTTTTCAACAGCCTTTGTGCTTTTTGTTATGTGAGAAATTGTAGTCTTCTACACATATTGCTGGTGACGATATTCCGGTGTTCTCTTTGTATATACCTAAAGTATAACACGGATAGGTTGAACACAGAAGCCTCGAAATCCCGCATCCTTCGAACTGTGTCTGTCGTCCCTTTTTTTTTTTCTTCATCTTTTTGTGATATCCCTCGAGCTATGGATCCCTCGAACTACAGATGCCGGACCGGAAGAATTGGAGCTCTCCGTGTTATGCTATAATATGTATAGTGTCATGTTATGTGTTTTTGAACTCTCATCTCTCCTCTTTTTGCCCACTTTGCTATCACCTTGTCAACTGCTTAAGTAGTAGGGCAAGTTTCTACTGTAACTCTTTCTTTTACAAATATTATGGATAGCAGTTGGTATGGGCTTGTGGTCTAGAGGTACGGTGTTTGCTTTTCGTTCATAACATTTTTTATAAATGTTTGTTCGTCTTTTTAGCATAATGAAAATAGTGTGATCGTGTGCGGTTGCGAGCTCGGAAAGACTCTTACTAAAAACACGTCTGATTTTGTAGCGGTGAAACCTGTTGGCGCTTAAATGACCAAAATTGTGTCGATAGTGCCGTAAAACATCTACCCAGTCAATCAAAAATCTTTTCATTCTTTCAGAAGGTCTCGGGCTCACAACTGGCAAACGACACTCAACATTTTACATTAGACACAATGAAGAGTAATGTACACACACAAACCACCCCCACCCCCCTCCTCACTATCTCTCTCTCTCTCTCTCTCTCTCTCTCTCTCTCTCTCTCTCTCTCTCTCTCCTTCACACGCTCAGACAAAAACACACCTTCTCTTCCGTCTTACACTACACGCATACACATTTAATCTGTACTTATATTATTTATAGTACAATAGAAGTAAATTGAATATGCCAAAAAAATGAATTTCTTCTACAGTCCTAGATCTATAAAATTTAAAACGTAAGCACCCAGGCAGGTATGATTCCAATAAGGCGGCGTCTATTCGGACTCGAGTCTACTGACAGAATAGCCTCCCGTGGTGTGTGCAATCAGCGGGTGTGGTGTGGGCTGTCGGATCATGGATGTGAAGTGGACGGGCAATTCGACCTTGGACTTCCTCGGTTTCTATGATCTGACCAAAATTGTCGACTCAACTTAACAAAAGTATTACTTTGTCACGCACTTTGTGACGTCAAAGGTGAACAACAGTAACAAAATCTGAAATACTACCCAACAGAGGCAAGCAGAGTGGGGCAATGCAACAGAAAATGGACAGGGCATAGCTCTAGCACTAAGAGTTCGACAAACACTGTTGGAGATGTCACTGATTTACATAAACGATGGAAGACCTACAAGACTGGCAACGAAACCGGGAGATTCGGGTGGGGTTATAGATCTGGCTTT